GGCACCAAACGAAACTCAACCCACAATCCCCAATGACTGTTGCTATGTTGTCCAGAATCTAAAATCATGAAGCCCCTAGATCTGTTGTTCCACCTGAGAAAAACCACAAGTCAGCTATCACAACTCTCTGTAGTTTATTTTCTCAGCATATAACTGGAGTTGAAGCTGTCATACACCTCCTTGAACAAAACTACTGTCATTTAGACAAATCAGACAGCACTTTAAGAATCACGTTCTTTGATGTCTCTAGTGAATTTATAATTATTCAGCCTAATTAACTTTTTCTGAAACCTTAGAAGACCCAGGTTAGTGAGACTGAAGAATTAACTGTCTGACCTGGTAGTCAGCAGTACAGGAGCACCACAGGGGACGGTACTCTCATCATTCCACTTAACTCTGTACACCTCTGACTTCCAAGACTTTGCTTTATGGTCTACCTTTTAGCAGGAAAACCCTAAACCCTCATTTAGAGCTAAAGTTCAGTAAATTCTGTTTCCTAATGTAGGAAAGCTGGTGATGATGATGTGGCCTGAGCTCTGCTCCTGTTATCCTTGATCTGCTGGGATAAACCTCATGCAAATCTGGATTGGATTAGACAGAAGCATTGGCAGGACTAATTAGTAGAGATTTCCATTGCAGGCATTAGTTTAATACCTAAGAAGTCTTTCAGAAAAAAGGTTGCTTTCAGGAATTTGACAGAAAAATAGTGAAAACATAGTGAAAATACTAAACACACACCAGACATATTCAAAAGGAGAGGGTAAGGAAGTCTGAAGAGGCATATAGGAATGTTAAAAGGTCAAAGGAAGATTCAACATCAGGGATTCAAACACATCCAGAAAGAGGATTCACAGAAGCAGCAGATTGAACTGCAAATCTCAGTCTACCAAGAAATGATTCTCAGACCATTGAAAGTCTGTTGCTATGGAAACGTCATCATTGCAGGCACTGCTTTAATCCGTGGAAGCCTGTTAAGTTAACATGAGGCTCAGGCAGCCACCTTATGCTTCTGCACTCACAACACGAGGCTGTGCCAGTATTCTAGATGCTCACAGGGGACAAAATTTCATCAGCTATGCTTCCTTCCTAGAAGGCAGGATTATTTTTTTTTCATTATTGCTTAGCATCTTTTATAATTTTATTTTCAGTTTGGTTTAAATTTCATGCAATAATTTTTTTTTTGCAAAAGTGGGACCCTATCAGTTTTTCACCGACTCCTGGTGCTATATTATGACTTTCATGTACTCTGTTTGGTATTAAAGAACAAGAAAACAAAACAAAACAAATAAATTACAAAAAAGGTAGAAACCAAAATAAGCTTACATACATAACCATTATCCAAATGGATAAGGAGTCTATAATTCAGTGTCAATGCCTGGGAGTTTCACAGTTCCTGCGGCATAGCAGTGTGCCTTTCAGTTATGCAATGATCTCAGTCCTGACAGCTCTTTGTATAGTTTTGGATTTGTTTCTAAAATCAGATATCTGTCAGACATCTACAATAATCCAGAGGAATCTGCCGCATTAATATATTCAGTGGAAGGGACAAGAGAGATGATAAGCCTGCCTGCTTAATGATAATACAGTTGTAAATCAGCAGTGACTGAGGAAGGAGATGAATTCCAGCACGATTTAGAGGCAGTTCTGTCAAACAGATGAGCTGATTTTTTTTTTGTCCAGCAAAGTTAAAAATAATGGTGGGGCTACGTCCAGGTCAGGCCCCAGGAAGCCTGCACAGAGTAGATAACTATGACAGATGAGCATGTAGTGAAAGGCTGACACACTGGGCAGCTTTAGTCGCTAGTTGTGATTGATGAGGTCACACTGAGCAACCAATCAAGATTCACTCTAAGATCCAAGAAGCTTTTTTCTTCCAGAGTCAGCTTAGGTCTAGTGTTTAATGTTGATAGATAAATAAAATAATGTGGAACAGATGTTCATTATCAATAAGTTAACTGATCAAAAAACATTCACATTGGAGATGATGATGATGATGATGTGGGTTAGGTTTCTCCAAATACAGCCTGTCTCGTTGAGCTCAAAGGGCCTAAGTCTTGTCTCATATCGCCGCAGCACTTTCACTTTCAAGTCCTTCTCGAATCAAACTTTAAATGTTAAACGTAAGACAGGCCGGTACACGGTGTATTTCTAGTTGTGTTCTTGATTACCCACTTCAGCTCATTATTAACAGGGTCCTTCAGCATCCCTCATCTTTCTCAGGATCACCCTAAACCCATGAAGCGAGATTATCCATGAGGGCAAAGAATAAGGAACAGAATGATGATTTTATAATTTTTTAAAGTCCAGATTACTTCCCCTGTTACTCTACACTTTTTACCAAGTTTCTTGTTGACATTCCTGGGATCTGTCCTAGGATTTTGCATATACAATATCATGTTGCTGTTGTCCATGTGCACCATTTTGTTTCTTACTCCTGTCGATGGAGAGCTAAAAGAAAGGATCCAATCAGGCCTTGTTTTCTTGTAAACGGCTTAATGTAAGAGTGGTCAGGCATAAAGATTATACTATAGTATGTCATCAGATCACAGGTGAGGGTAGAATTCTTCTGTATGAAAACCAAACATTTAACCGACTATTTTTATAAAGAGCTCTGTTATTCGGTTGCATTTTAGGAAGCACTTAAGCAGCTCTGTTAAGAGCTCTTCTATGAATGTAAGAAGTATTGTGAACTATACCACCGTCACAGTACTGTGCATCTTACCTCTGATTACAAAAAAAGGTACACTGCCTTTGATGAATAATGCTCCAGCATTGCCATCCTTTGCTATTACTTCTAAATTTCCTCAAGCATTGCATAAATGTTGCAGCAACAGTTTCATAATAAACTACCGTATTCACATGGCAAGGGGGTAGGTCTGATTTGAACTTTGGTAGGGACACTATTAGTCTGGTGTCATTGGTGCTATGCAATATGCATGCCCTTTTTTATGCTCGATGTGAGCATCCATACTGATAAGAGGAATTCATTGTTAAAAGAGAAAAGCAACATTTTGCTCCATTAATAAAAATGTTATAAGCTCTACACTCATTAGATGCTGTTTATCAATGTTTGAAGTATCACCGGCTCTGATGAATGTGGAATTAGGACTGTTTTCCACTTTGAAAACGGTTTCATTTGAACGACTAAGAGAGAAGGTAAATACAGTATTTTCTTTTGAAGATACAGAATTGTGCAGAGTTAAACCCCACTCTAATATTTGTACCTACTATTCTCTCTCTGTATCAAGCAAAATAATACATTCATTAAAATATTAACTTACCTATAAAAGTTGAACATCTGGGCTGTAGTTACTCTGTGTAGCCAATTTCATGTATTTCATCTGGGGCTGAAAAAACTGAATCATATTATGGTAAATGGTAAATGGCATGTACTTATATAGCGCCTTTATTCAAGTTAGGAGACCTGACCAAAGCGCTTTACACTACATTCATTCACCCATTCACACACACACTCACACACTGATGGTGGCAAGCTACATTGTAGCCACAGCTGCCCTGGGGCTCACTGACAGAAGCGAGGCTGCCGTACACTGGCGCCACCGGGCCCTCTGACCACCATCAGTAGACAATGCAGGTGAAGTGTCTTGCCCAAGGACACAACGACAATGAAGGTCAGAGTCGGGGCTTGAACCATCAACCCTTCGATTACAGGGCAAACTCCTACATCCAACGCCACTGTCGCCCAACATATTAATTGATTATTCCAATAATCGTCAACTAATTTAGTAAGTGATTCATCATTAACTGGAGTATAGAGACTTTAAAACATACAGTAATATAAATGTAAAATGTGCCTTTCCCCACAGAGCAACCCACTTAGATCAGTTATTATATCAAAATTGTAAAAATAAAAACAAAAAAAATTAAAACAGTAATATCAACTTAATATCGGTAAAAAGTTGATGGCTTACAGCCTTTATTTGCCCATTTTTCCAACACTCTTCAGAACTCCTGGCTGACTCAGAATATTTCGTTTTAGAAAAGAAAAAAAAGGTTTTTGTTTTTTAATGTACATGATATTCATTTTTTTTATTGGGACTAGTTTTGTAGCCTAATATTAATTGTAGTAACCGCTGCATTCTAGTGTGAATAAATTTTCAATGTTGTGCTCCAAGCACACGCGGACTAGAAAACAGCCAATCAGAGAGAGAGAAGGCGGAACTTAAGGCAGAACAACCAATGAGAGTTGAGTTAAACAGCGCAGCACAGTTCCATGCGCTGCTACATGAAAGGGACAGGAGAGACCAGGCAGAGGAGCTGCGAGAGGAAAAGAAGCCACTGCTGCAACAACTACTGCTGTAAATTATAAACATGTTGCTCACATCCAATTATTGGTCGGGACAATTAGGTCGGTTCAAAATTTTGGTAGGGACATGTCCCTATGGTCCCTATGCAAACCTACGCCCATGTCACATGGTCTGTCTTCATTGATGAAGATGTGCGTATCTTTGCATCGCTCTGATTACTTCAGCTAAAAAATGCACATGGGTAGTACTAAAAAGAGCAAATAGTTTTTAAACTTTATCCCTAGATGATCAGGTGATCCTAAAGTATATTAAAAACAGTTATAAAAGAGCAAAAGTGATGTACCTATTGAATACTGACTTCAACAAACGTCTTAACAATACACCTCAACGAATAGCAAAGGCTCTTCAAAGGAATGGCTGTAATGGATTTGAATAAAACAGGCTTTATTTCTAATATATTTAAAGCTCAAATAATTCTGTGAGAAGTGTTGTAACCATTCGTGGGGACATCCTGGTTTATTTTCCTTCCGTAAAATATAGGCTGTATCTGTATAAGAGTTTATAGATAGAGAAGAACAAAAGTTCTGGTTTGATGCAATAATTTATACCGTTTATTTATATAATGTAAAAAGATAAGCAGAGGAATCCATTAGATTGAAGAAAACTGGAGATAGGGAAGCATTGGTGTTTACTTCTAATTTCCTTGGGTCTTTTGTTTGCTTTTTTTCCCAGATGTAGACACCACCAAGGACCCTTGTCAAAAGGTTAAGTGCAGCCGACACAAGGTGTGCATCGCTCAGGGCTACCAGAGAGCTGTGTGCGTCAACCGCAAGAAACTGGAGCACAGGTGAGCATGTTTAGAAAGACGGCTGACTAAATCCCCAAACACAGAAGGAGTCAGAAATGCTCCTCCAGCACACTGACATGAGGTCAACACAGATGGTCTACACTGCTGCTTGAGTGGGATGTGGTTTGGCTGCTGGCTACTGTGGAACCAATGAAAGTTTCCTGTTGTGTAATGAGAGGCTAATACATTTAGACATGGAGGGGACTGTTTGCATCACGATCTCATGCTCAGCCTAAAGCCTCTGTGTCTCTACTCTGAGTTTATATGGCAGTGGTTTTCTCAGCTTGAGGAAGTGAGGGTTAAGTGTTTGCGTGTCGCCTGTCCACAGACTAAAACAACCCGCTCTCCGATCTCCTCTTGGGAACTGTCAGCCATGTCCCATCTCCTCGACTGGACCAGTGTGTGGATCAGATGGACACAACTACGCCTCAAAGGTATGTTTTCCAGTAGTTAGAGAGTCTGCAAAACGTATACTGTAGAGTCTCAAAAGACAAAACCGATGACACATAAGAAAGATTACTTATTAGAGAGTTTAAATATCACCACAGAGCTAGGAATGCAAATTTGTGATTCATAAATGAATCTAAAGTTAACTGATCAACTGACTAGCTTTCTCTTGTATCTTCAGGATTTTTTCATAATAAGAGATAAATATTTTTTACAATATGCTAAAAAAAAAAACGCACATTATCATATTTTAACAATTTATTTTGTCAATTGGATTAAATGTTGACTGAATAAACAGAAAAAAATGTTTTCTTACACATTATTTAACCCACTTGGCTCTCGGATGGATGTTAAAATGTGGCTCACAAAAGCTTTCCTTTTTACTATGATTATTGCCCTTCACTTTTCTATCATCACATCTATCAGCTCATCAGAGAAGTTACGCTGTTCCACCATGCAGCATGGTTAAATGGGCACTACATAGGTGATAGCTTGGGGAGTTTATTTAGTGTTAACATTTACTAACAGAATAACATGAAGTGTTGCTATTAAAAGCTGTAATTAATGTCAGACAAGACTCACAATCGATTCATCTTTTTGCTTAGTGTTACCCAATCTGTCGCAGAAGCTTGAGTCATATCATCTGCTCATTTACTTATGTGCAGATAGAAATTCATCCAAACGTTGTATTGTTGGTGGCTTTTTTTTGTCTGTGTGAATTGATGCCACTTTGTTTTTTTTTTTTGTTTTCTTTGGTTCATGTGGTACCCTTTAAGTAAAATGTTGGGTTTTATTTTGTTTTAAATTGTACTTATTTTCTAGAATTTAGAAATCCTAAAATGTTTAAACAAACAAAACATTCACAGAACAAGTTGAATAATGTGTTCTGTGCAACTTAGCGCTTCTTATTTGTAATCTCAGTAGATGGGGCCCCTGATATAAGCAGAAGCAGTTTATGACTGAAAAGCATTGTCAACATGAGGCATAGAAATCTAGATTTTGGGTTATATTAAGGTATATTCTAATACACCTTTAGCAATTTCCCAAGAACAACTTGAAAGACCCAAAAAAACATATTCTTCTTCTCTAGTAAAGGAATGGCACTTTTTCAACATAATTTACCGATTTAAAGACATTACAAAGCCAATCTAAATTATCAACCTCCAGGGTCATAGCATTCACAAAACAGGCTTTAATCTAAGACAGCCAGACTTTGGCTCAGTTTATCTGAAGACGTTTCATCACCAATCCAGGAGGAATATGCAGCTTGGAGCGCTGATGTATTTTATATCAGATCATTTTTTTTTTTTTTTACTGAAATGTGAGTTTAACTAAATGTAATCTGGTAGTTAATCTTAAAAATGTGTATCATCTGAATATATATTTTGATTTACTTTTTAGGTACTACTGAATCAAAGAATCTCCTCCTACACATCTCTGTTTACTAGATATTTTGATGTTATAAGGCATCAGTATTTTACTCGCAGTTTATTTCTGTCCCTTTCAGATGGATAAAACAATATTTTTTTTTTTCAGAATTAAAGCAGAAAACATGTTCATAAAAAGGGTGATTTAAACCTTGGCTGCATTCCTCTTAATAAGGCAGTAAAAAAAATGTGGAAATGTACGCACTGGTTAAACATCACCTTTGTTGTAGTGTTTATTTAATAAATGTTCGGGAACCATATGTTGTGTGAAGAATTGCTTAAACACACAGAGCTATTAAAAGCTTTAAATCTGTTATAGATACAGACAGCATGTTGTGCAGCTTGGGATACAAAACAGAAGTACATTCTGAGCTGATCTGTCTGAGGAGCTTCTCCCCGGAAAAATCAGGACAGAGTCAAGATACACTATATTGCCAAAAGTATTTGCTCACCCATCCAAATTATTGGAATCAGGTGTTCCAATCACTTCCATGGCCACAGGTGTATAAATTCAAGCACCTAGGCATGCAGACTGTTTTTACAAACATTTGTGAAAGAATGGGTCGCTCTCAGGAGCTCAGTGAATTCCAGCGTGGAACTGTGATAGGATGCCACCTGTGCAACAAATCCAGTCGTGAAATTTCCTCGCTCCTAAATATTCCACAGTCAACTGTCAGCTGTATTATAAGAAAATGGAAGTGTTTGGGAACGACAGCAACTCAGCCACGAAGTGGTAGGCCACGTAAACTGACGGAGCGGGGTCAGCGGATGCTGAAGCGCATAGTGCGAAGAGGTCGCCAACTTTCTGCAGAGTCAATCACTACAGACCTCCAAACTTCATATGGCCTTCAGATTAGCTCAAGAACAGTGCGCAGAGAGCTTCATGGAATGGGTTTCCATGGTCGAGCAGCTGCATCCAAGCCATACATCACCAAGTGCAATGCAAAGCGTCGGATGCGGTGGTGTAAAGCACGCCGCCACTGGACTCTAGAGCAGTGGAGATGCGTTCTCTGGAGTGACGAATCGCGCTTCTCCATCTGGCAATCTGATGGACGGGTCTGGGTTTGGCGGTTGCCAGGAGAACGGTACTTGTCTGACTGCATTGTGCCAAGTGTAAAGTTTGGTGGAGGGGGGATTATGGTGTGGGGTTGTTTTTCAGGAGCTGGGCTTGGCCCCTTAGTTCCAGTGAAAGGAACTCTGAATGCTTCAGCATCCCAAGACATTTTGGACAATTCCATGCTCCCAACTTTGTGGGAACAGTTTGGAGCTGGCCCCTTCCTCTTCCAACATGACTGTGCACCAGTGCACAAAGCAAGGTCCATAAAGACATGGATGACAGAGTCTGGTGTGGATGAACTTGACTGGCCTGCACAGAGTCCTGACCTCAACCCGATAGAACACCTTTGGGATGAATTAGAGCGGAGACTGAGAGCCAGGCCTTCTCGTCCAACATCAGTGTGCGACCTCACAAATGCGCTTCTGGAAGAATGGTCAAAAATTCCCATAAACACACTCCTAAACCTTGTGGACAGCCTTCCCAGAAGAGTTGAAGCTGTTCTAGCTGCAAAGGGTGGACCGACGTCATATTGAACCCTATGGATTAGGAACGGGATGTCACTTAAGCTCATATGTGAGTCAAGGCAGGTGAGCAAATACTTTTGGCAATATAGTGTATGTTCCCTCAGAGGGACCAATTGGCGGCTTGTGGTGACAGTGTCCTGTGTGTTTATTGATTAATGCTTTGTCTTGTGGCTCCCTATTCCTGACCTTGTGTGTGCAGAGGTTAGACATCGGCACATTTAGAAGCAAGTCTACGATTTGAATTGGGGCTTACAGTTAGTACCCTCATGAATATTTGATCTGTGCTGCAGCAATAACTCATTTTGGTTCACCTTTGCATCCCCTTGTCTATTTTGCTGGCTTGTACGTGTGTATGTTTAATTATTGTGTGTGTTGCAGTGCAAGCTGGAGCAGCAGGCGTGTCTCACTGGGAAAGCTCTGTCCCTGAAGTGTTCAGGTCTATGTCCTTGCCCAACTACATCACCTGCATCCAGGGAGGGGAAACATGGTGAGATTCAAATCTCTGGCAGAATAATTAGGTTAACTGTAATAAAAAAAAAAGCATGATAAACACATTTGGGGTTATATCAGAATTCTGGTTTTCGTTGCTTTGACACATGCCCTCTACTTTGTGCAAAAAAAAACTTCATGCATATCCCTCAATCTGGCTTTCACAGAGAGCTGCACTGGGCAGGATCTGTCTGATCTCGGCGAGCGTCTGAAGGACTGGTTCCAGCTCCTGCAGACCAATGCCAAGCAGAACAATAACAGCAAGCAAGGAGCCAGATCTCCTGCTTCCAGCCCTACGTCAGGTTAAAGGCTTTTCTCAACCAGTCACAATAAAGTATATCTGATTAACACGGCTTGGATTCTTTAGGTATTCAGTCACTCAAGATCAGATCAGAGAACAGTCAAAACATGTCTGTGAAGGAGCCAGTACCCTGACTGCTTCGCTATATATTCATAATCATTCATCAGAATGTCCCGTTTGTATTTCTCATTTTAAAAAATTAATTATTAATCTGCGATTGTTTCTTCCAATGGATGTCAGGTAGTTTTTTTTTTATTGTCAAAAAGACAATTATTCCTGAAGTGTGATTAGGATTTTTTAATGAATAAATGTTAACCAACGTGTGGAGGGTGTTGTACATTCTCAAGCCATCGGTCTGATTTCATGTGTTATCTGCACAGCTGTCTGCACAATAGTAATTAATGAGAGTGTGTCTGTGTCAGCAGTGCTGGACAGGAGCCTGGTCGCCAGCTGTAAGGACTCCATAGGTTGGATGTTCTCCAAGCTTGACACCAATAATGACCTTTACTTGGATCAGGCTGAGTTGGCCGCCATCAACCTGGATAAATATGAGGTCTGCATTCGGCCATTTTTCAACTCCTGTGACTCGTACAGGGATGGGAAGGTTTCCACGGCTGAATGGTGCCTTTGCTTCTGGAGAGAGAGTGAGTATTTCTTACGCTGATGGGAGGTTTGGGTCCATGGGCAATTTTAGTGTCTTGCTGCTGACATTTTCAGCTGAATGTGTGTTGAAAGGTAAAACATTTGTTGGGTTGGTAGTGTTTTTATCTCAATAGGCCCTGTTACTGGACCTATCTGTAAAAGCAATGTTTTCAATCTTTTTTAAGAGCCGTCCTGTTTAGCCGAACTGGAGAGGATCCAAGTACTGGATGGCGGGAAGAAAAAGTTTGGTATGTATTCCCACTCATCTCAGGCATATTATTGGCGGTTCCATTAAACAAATAACGGGACAGAGGTGGGTATTAATCTGTGATCACCTCATGTGAATTATAAAATGCTAACAGACGACACAGCCCCTTGTCGGTCCTGGATGTCTTTGTAGATGAATATTTAAACATGCAGATTTGGTTAACAGTGTGTGAGAGTGTGTGCGCTGCAGAATTTGATGGGCTGACTGGGCTCTGAGTCAGGACTCTCCAAGGACACAGAGAGGCAAGCAGCCAGGCCGCATGACACTCATGTTCCCCCGAATGATTGGATGAGTTCTCAGTTTTGGTTTCTATTTGTTTTTCAAAATTGTATATTGTGAATATGTATTTTATAGGATGTTTAATTTTTCAACCCTTCCATTCTTATATGAGAACTAATTTCCTTTGCACAGGTGTATACAATTCTTTTCAAAAATAAACCTTTTCAGGCTTGTTTACCTCTATATCTGATTATCACTGCACTGTTGCTTTAGCTCTGGAGAGGAGTGGGCTGTTTAAAAACTGTGTAAGTGATGCTTTTCCAACAGGAGGCTGTCTTTTAGCTCCGGGTTGGGGCTGGCCTTAATCTTACCTTTAATTGGTTCATAATTTGCAAACGTTGCATTCTCTGCTTATAAACAACATAAAACTGATGGTTCAGAACCTAAATTAAAATATTTAATATTCAGTCATTCATCCATCTATCGAAGGTCTGTTCCTCTGTTATTCATTACAGACAAAGCTTTTTTCCCCCCATTTAAGTCCTGATTACAATAGATGCATCCCCCATAGATTCCTGGTAAATATATGCATTTATACATTACAAATTGATTTAAGAAAAGGCAAAATACAGACTAGATATTTTGACATTGGGGAATCTTAAAAATATGTTTCAGCTCCTTTAATTGCCTTCTTGATAGTAAAGGATAGTTGCAGCTTGTATTATCTATGCTTAGCACAAAATGTAGGGACATTGGAAAGCATTGGAATGGTGCCACATTTTATTGAAATGCACACTGTTAATAAGATTGGAGTTATGGAGTGGGTTATGCCTGTGTAAGATTTACCGTCATCAAATGTCTAATTTTGCATTCGACTTCTGCGTTGCATCTTTTATTGGTTTGGATGAGAAATGTTTGAAGAAATTAGATATTGACAACTCAACACTTTACTCATATAACAGGTGCTCTGAGTAGTGCGTGGGAGAACAACAAAACACTGACGGCTCCTCAACAGTTTGGTCAGTGCTGGTGGACCGGCATCTCATTAAACCAGCGTTTGTCATACATTGGCTTTTTGGTTGTATCGGTCATCCTCTCCAAAAACAGTACAGGTCTTGGACATGTCTCATTGTCTGAATGTGATGATTCCACACCTCCTGCTTAACTGTACAATGGAGGATGCCAGGCTACATGGCTTGTAGGTTTAGCACAGCCACATCGGAATATCAATACATGAACAGTAAGTTACAGATAATATAATTAGAGTCAGATTCTGAAAAGAGGGAGAGGAAGATGAGATAAAGATACTGCAGAAGAGCTCATGACTGGGAAACAGGACAGGGATCAAAAGCTGGTGGTAGCAGCAGACACACTGCATGATTCTGCTAGAAAATATGAAACACTGCTTGATTTTCTTTGTTAAAGATTGTCATTGATTGTTGATTGAACCTGGTTTGAGAGTAGAGATCTGGGCTTGTCTCATCTTGATAATTCTCTGCTTTGACATCACATCCAATGAGGACCCATTTTGTTTGTTTGTTTTTTGATAAGCCCCAAAACAGTCTCTTCTGCTCAACTCACAAATGTATTTTCCCTCCAAATGTGGCAACATTTATCAGTGAAAAAGCTTTTCAATGGTGTATGGTTTACAGCCAAGCCATATTTTTATAACAAAGAAAAGATCAATAAAACACTAATTTCTTTTCTCTATGCACTCTGTTTATACAACCCTGCAACATAGATTTTACTGCATAGAAGCTAGAAATGCTACTGCCACATATGCTGCATAAATGGACTTTGTGCAGTCTCTGACAACAATGAATATTTTGGATTTTCGCTTTCCAGTCGTCTGTCATTTGCATGGAAACAATGTGCTTTTCAACAAAAGGTCTGACTCCCACTGATTTAAGCATGTGCATGTGGTTGATCCAGGTCGATTCATCCCCAGCTGCAATGAGGACGGCTTTTACAGGAAGCAGCAGTGTGACAGGGGCGAGTGCTGGTGTGTCGACCAGAACGGAGGAGAAGTGGCGGGGTCTCGGATTCGCGGCAAGCCGGATTGTGGTAAGCCTGCAGATTTCAACAGTTGCCAGAGAATTCATAACATTTTTATGTTGGGATCTGAATGATAGAAACACAGCTCTTGATATCTAAAGCATTTATTTCCCCCTTCCTTCTTACAACCTCAGACGAGTATTTACACAAGTACTCCTTTCAATTTTTTAAAAGGACTGAACTCTGCTAAAACACATCTTAATTCAAAGCCCTGCCCCTCCTTTAAAGTGTCCAGAGTCATTGGCATTCTAAAGAGCTGCTTGTCGCTGTGAAAAAAAGTCTCTCAATATAAATGGGAGGGGGTCTGATTGGACGAAACCCACGCCTAATAAGAATGGTTCCCCTGGCAGTTTAGATGTAGCTATTAAAACCCAGACAAAGTCAGACGCTTGTCGTCTCTGCCGTGAAACAGGAAGGACTCTCTCACACACACACACACACACACAGCGCTGTAATTCATTTTCTCTGCATGCTGTCCCTCACAGATTCCGAAATGACATATTCAGGGGATTTTGGCAGCGCAGTTGGATGGGAAGACGAGGAGGAGAAAGAAGCTGAGGAGACTGCAGAGGAGGCTGAGGAGGAGGAGGGAGAGGTGGGAGAGGTGGATGATGGGGGGTATATCTGGTAAAGGGTCAGTGTTCAGTCCGACCTCTCTGTGGGAGTATTTTAACGTTACCAAATACACACACATATATATACACAGCTGACAATGGACATGAGGAAGGCACTCCACTCAGTTTAACACTGCATTAGAAAAACATGAGGGAAAGTCATTGATTTGGAAGGGGAATCAGATAGATCTGGGAGTGTTTATTGTTGCAGGTTGTTCTTATCTTTGAAAAGGATATAGGAGATGTTCTTCAGACATTCTGGGCCAGGAGTTAAAAAATAATAAGTCCTTTTAATTGTGAATCTTTGTTCTCTTTTGTTGTATGTCCTTTAGAACTATCTATGAGCTGTTTTTAGCTGATGCATAATGGAGATTTTAAGAAGCTGCAGGTGCTTGTGTAAAAAAGAAATCCACATTGGGTGCATTTCAGTAGTCTAGAATGAAGTTTATTTCTTTTTCTGAGTTAAGATCAAAACCAATTTGGGTTTTAGTTTGAAAGCTGCCCGTAAAAGATATCAGACCGCTCTAGAATATTGAAAAGCACCCTTTGGTTTTATCCTTTTCACCTCATATGCTTTGGCTTATATGTGACAGTAGTGCTCTGTCTCATTCATGACATATTAAGAAGTTTTTTCACACATCACTCCTTAGCTTGTATATAATGTGTGCATCAGAAGACAGAATGTCACCTGCTGGTCAATGCCTTGAAAGACTGGCAGCTTTACCGCTTAGCTGACAAGTGTACATCGTAATCTAATGTGCATTGGTTATTGTGTTTAATTAAAAAAATGCGTCAAATAAAATAAATCTTATCTATGTGGCTGGTCTGGCCACCATTCTTCTGAGTCTGTGCAGTTTTTGTTGTGGCCTACCCTCCTGTGGTAATACATAAAGGGATCAGATTAAAGTGCAGAGCGACCAGAAATGGAAATATATCATCTATGTGGAAATTTTGGCAAGTAGTCCATCTTGATATTATGTTTTATTTTGTTTGTTTTTATTGGAGCCATTAGTTATATTGTGAATGCATAATTTACCTAGAATAAATAAATTAATATTTATGCATATATATATATATATAAAATTATGGGTTACAACTCTTGTTATTTTTTTGAGTTGAGGGGACTCTTAAGATACCTCAATATTTTCTGCTCAGAGTTGAGTGTTTTTTACAAAATAAGTAAAGATAGAAAATATTTCGGGTGTTGATCAAGTTCTAAAATAATGAAGGAAAATTGGACTTTTACTTACCACAAATATCAAATAATCATCTTAAACAAATGTTTCTTTCTAACTCAAAATATGGTTTTAAGGTCCGTGCATAAAATAAATAGATTTTATGCAGTGGGTTATTAATAAAACCTGACAAATTTTAAGAGATTTTGCGCTCCTGACCAATTACATTTTACTTTAGGAACAGAATGGTGTATATTTAGGTTTTGTTTTATGAGCATGTTTACTTCAGGATTATTATAATTCATTAATAATATCATTATTAAGCTGTTGTTTTTAGTTTTAGAATGTACATAATCAAAATAGGAGTTAATGTTGAAACAGCATTATAAATGTAGCAGTCAAGTGGTTATATTTCATAAGCTGAAAAAACATGAATAATTTAGAAAAAATACACATAAGAGACAAATATAAGGAAGTACCAAGAATTGGTAAGCAATAACTACCTTTTTCCTTGAGACACTTATTTACAACTGTTAGCAGCTTTTCAGAATCAAAAGATGAAAAAAATAAGCTTTTCAGCTATAGGAGCTGTTCATTTTCAGTCAGGAAATGAGCCATTTGTCTACAACACACCTAAGCGTAGAATCAGAACAACAATTAATGCTTTAAAACAGCCAAAATTATTACAAACCAAGGCTATTGGAGGCTATCAGGATGTTGAGGGATGCCAAAAACTGCTCAGTAATAAAGGAATTGCAGCAAAGAGTAGCACCTTAAGGTCACCCCGTTTCCATAACAACCCTTCATTTTAAGGCGATACACCGTCTATTCTAAACATCTTACCTTAAGCTGCCACAAACACGACTGAACTTCACAGATCTTGTCACATCAGTATAGATAATCATCAAACTAAAATATGCTAAGCAAAATATAATTTGGCTTATGGTACAGTTACTTGCAGAATAATGTTTTTCATACAAGAACAGGGAACACAATCTATTGCATTGACAAGTGTATTGACCAGGGTATGTATCTTTTTGATTTAATTTAAAAACAAACATTTAGCTCATTTTAGCCTTCATAGTGCAATTAATATGATTATGGTCATTTGAACTCATTGCTGCACCTATACAGTAATTCTTGTGACAGTCAGCATTTACTCTTCCTAATCTGCCTCATTATTCTTAATACTTAAGAGTATTTACAGGTTTTCCACACAAAAAAAAACATCACCTGTTTACTGGAGCAAGATATTAAAGGTAAACTGAATGTATGTCAAGTTACATTTCACCCTTAAAGGGAAAAGTCATAGGTTTTTATTTTTTATTTTGTTTGTTTCAAACCATTAAATCTGCTGCTTTTAGATGTGGTTTATTTTGGGTACGGTCCAATTTAGCAAAGTGTGAAAGGAAGATGGTTCCGATGAGATTATTCTTTAGACATAAAACTGAGACTATCTGCGACTATATGTCACTTAGGGCGCCTCTTAGGAAAAATCACCGACACAAATCTCAAAATCTCTTCTATGCGTGACCTGTTTGCTGTAAAGCGGATTGTGTCAACACAATGCGGTTGTCAGCTTACTTTCCTTATGTTTCCCTTATTGTGCTGTGAAATGTGCGCTTATAGTGAAACCCGCTGAAATTGGACACAGACCTCAGCCTGCATATAAGCCGTTCTTAAAGCACAATACCTATAGAAACCTGCATGTCCTCAGGACATTGCTTAAGCCTCTCCTTTGTTGATGATTGACTTAGTGAAATAGAAACCCTTCCGTCTGTTAGGCTCCATGTTTTCTAGAGTTTACACCAAGAATGTCCATCATACAGTTGTAGAAAGTGACAGAAACCAATCCCTGGAAATGTCATCTCACAGTTTTATATTTCTGTGATAATGGAAATCAGCATCAGCAACATCCCATTGGGTGAAACCTCCACCGTACACACTGTGAGTGAATGTTCCTGCCAACAGATGTCTGAATACCTGATATATACACACACCAGCCCTCTCAAGCTACCCAGAGGGACCAATCATTTTCAGCAACCTGTCAGCTTGTTATGCTGAAAAACTCATACATCAAGAGCAGATCTAAATTCCCACAAATGCCTCCAGAAATAGTGCTCTTGATGTTTTAACTGTGAAATAAACGGGGTAGAAAAATCAACCTTCTTTTACCATATTTCCCACATTTACTACCCATTGTTTAAAATCAGCTCTTTAATATTATGTCAGGATTCCTTCTCCTCTTTAAGGTTTTTTTCTTCAAGATTTGCTGAGATGAGATTATACTACTAGGACTGGGATTAAATAAAGTATTGACAATCTGAAAAGTACCAATACTCAATCATTGTATTTGGAAACAATGCTAAATTGGCATGGTATTGCTATTAAATATAAGTGTTGTTCGCATAATTGTTAATTTTAAATCTGCACCTTAAATAATACCTCAAACAACTTAAAAATATTGTCAAATTGTGTCATATTTGGGCTATATAGTTTTCATTTATTTGCACACTTATTAAACAAATAGAATATCTTATTCTGCTCAGAAAGGGTGATCCATGTTTGGACTGAAAAGGGGAGTTTTTTTTTTTATCTTAATACATTTTTTATGCTTTAATTATTTGGCATTTTTTTATCCCTATGGTTTCAAGTATCAAATACTTTTCTGGGTATCGATATATATAGGTGGGGATTTTAGTATTGTTTCTATCCTGACTACTACATTTGAGGAAAAGCCTGTTTTAAGCCTTTTTGTACACAATTTTATGAAATATTCCAATAAATGTGGCGTTCCTGATAAAGATGAATAAAAACTTTTATAAACTAGTGTTATAATAGAAATCATTATGATAGAATACAATCACAAACTTGGTAAATGCGATATAGAACATTTTATTTCGTCGAATGAACTAAAAAGAATAAATGGGTTTTACAATTCCTTAATGTCTTTTTGATAATGATTCTAGAAAGGTAAAGTGGGATTAATGCCCTCATTTGTACTTCAGTGTATGTCCAAATGACTGAAGCAGAATCCACCTCATATCAAAGTGCAGGTCAGAGTTTGCTTTGTGCAGCCTGTAGCCTCCACACCCGTTTGACATCATTTTCCACAGAGTTAAGCACATCGAACACGTTGACATTTCTCATCTGGTGAAACTCCTGCAACAATTTCTGGAAAACAGGCACGGGGATGATAAAGTTGAGGTGTGGATATGTTACGCTCGCAGCCAGGTCTCGTGCATTGCTTGAAACGATTCCTGCAACAGAGCAGATAAGTTGCCCTTTGTTAAAACTGCAACCACAGCAGAGCTGACCGATTGATCTGCTGAGAACAGTGCAGCTGAGCCTTTTGTCTACAAGTGTATTATATGCAGGATTTACTGTGGTGGTCAGATGCCCCCCACTGTTCAAGAAGAGTATAAGGTTGGTTTTGTTCTCTTAAGTACAGGGCTTACCAAGCAGCTCTCCTGAATGTTTCTGCACCACAGCACCTCCACTGGATCCTGCTTGTACAGCACATGTGGTCTGAAACATGACAGGCTGGTTATTCAAGGGGATGACTTTAGAGAGGACACCGGATGTCAGAGATGGACCACAGAATCGGCCCAAACCCCCATATCCCACTATAACCACAGCATCACCTGAAATTGGAAAAATAGAAATAAAACTCAGCTGGGTATTAATCTCACGGCAAATTTACCCATTTAAATTAGACTCTCTCCTTTAATTCTGAAATCATACCTTGGCGGAAACTTTCTGACATTTTCGGGATCACAGCATTTGGAACGGGAACTCTCAGCTCAATAAAGGCTAGATCATATGGTGAAGATGCTTTAGTGGAGAACAATACATCACCAATCACATCACAGACTCTGAGGTAAAAAAACAAAACACAACATAAAAAAAAATAAATATCAAGATATCAATGCTTTAGATTATTATTATTATTAAATTATTCTTTATAATAATAGTAACAACTAATAATAAACAGAAAATTAACTCTGGCATAAAGAGACTTGCATTATTAAAGCAAAAATGATTAAGAGACAAAATGCAGCTCCAAATTTATGCTAAGGCCTTTTTGTGTATTTCATTGTTTTATTTGGAATCTTCAGCTAAACATATTAATGTATAAAATGCTCCTGCCTGGCATCTTATCATTTTCTGACTTTTGACTATATGTTCTATTCATGTTTTATCTATATTATTTTCCTTCCTATCCACTGGTTTGTACCACTTATTCTCATGTTTATCTACCACATAAAAGCAATAAAATACATTCTAGTTTATGCTTTGATTTTAGCATTTTTTTTGTCTTGTTTCTTTTGCATTGTACCAATATAAGAGGCTTTTGTAATGCTGTGTTTATATTTTATTACTATCTATAACTGACAGTTATTCATTCAGATATATTTGGATTCTTCCTCTTTTGCATTTTATGGGTGACATGTTATAACGATGATCTGATTAACAGTAAATTAAAAATAACCTGTTCCCTTGATGAAACTTCAGGGTGACCAAAGACTTCCCGCTGACTACATGTCGGCAAGTTACGACCAGATTTGTGGTGATGACCACTCCCGACCCCCAGACCTGTCCACTGTCCACAAAGCATACAGTAGGGTATCTGCACGCTTCTTTCACCTGAGCTGTGCTGGACATGCTGAGGCCTGCCTCTCCTGGTTGGAGGCAAAGCCCATCTTGGACCCCTGTGCAACGCATAATGTTCCTGAAGATCAAGTCAACGGAGCAGACCAAAGTGAGGCCTATCCATTCATTTGACTTCCAACCAAATGGAGAAACAATCAAACCAATAAGCCGGACACCGTCTGTTGCTTCCACAGCAAACAACCCTCCCCCTTCTGTGCCTGGTAGGCAGCGAGCATCTGTGAGGATGACAGCATTGTCTTCTCCAGCGAGGTTGCTGATGATGCCTCTGCTAAGGGTGCTACTGAAGAGGTCTAAACAGAGAGAGCCAAACGGGGAGCCACATGCAACCACTGGGAAGCCTTTCTGTAGGGCTGAGCAGCTCTGCCAGGGGATAGGTCCTGGATCTGAATCCTTCTTCATCACTAAACGAACCTTAAGGACTGCGAACCAGCTCAGGGACTGGGCATCCCTCATCATGTCAGCATCCTCATCATCACCATGGAAACGCCACTGATCTGACTCTTGGAAAACTCCCAGAAAGGCCTGTTTGAATTCCAAGCAGTTCACCAGCATCATTAGCTCCCCTGAAACCTCCCGCTGCTGACCTGGTTTGTTTTTCACAGAATCAGAAAAGCAAACGCGGATTTTCAGAGAGTCGCTGAAACTGCGTGGGAATAGGACCCCGGTGTCCGAGGAGAGGAGCTCTCTGTCGGTTACAAAACGGGAAAAAGGGAGGCCGGTGCAAATTACAGTACCGGAACGAAAGTGGACGATTACTCCACTGCAACTGACGGGTTTTCTTTCGGATGTCCCAGAGATTTTAACCACACAGCAACACTTTTCCACATCATTTAGCTCCATGCTGCTGCAGCTTAGATACACTCTGCTAGAACACACAACGTGACAAGTATCGCGAAGGCAGTTTACTTAAAAATATTACAACCAGCCCATGAAATAACAGAATACGGCTCCATTACGAGATAAAATACGACAGTTAATTGAAATAATAACTAATATCTGTGGGAAATAAGTACGTGTTTAACAACTTCCATAACAAAGCTCACTTCCTGTTTAGCCCTCAACACTCGACTTGATTGGTCAGCACTTGAGGTTAGCTAGCCAATAGAAAACAAGAAACGGGTGAGCAATTTAAAGGAGCCACATCTTTATGACGTCCCAAAATCATATCATGTATCTTTCCTTTATCATTCAGCACAATAATGTTTTCCAAATCCGAGTAATACCAAAAAGTGTTTTAAGCTCTAAAATGCTCACAGCAAAAATATTCAATTCAACTTTTATGACAGTATTTCCCAACTAGCTGTAGAGTTGCGCCTCCACACGGCGTTTTACGGCTGTGATTTGTTTGCCGCGTTGCATTGAGGTTAACTTGTACACTAGAATGTCCAAGTTTAAATGATTTCCTAATTCAAACCATAAATTGTCATCTAATAATTCATAACGAAATTACAGCATTTATATTTTCTAAGTAAAAATTATTTTGATGTAACACACAATATGACAAAATGTTCAGCTTGAAGAAATTCAGTTTAAAATTATATGAAAATTTTTTTATTATATTAAACACAGTCTTAATCAAAATCATACAGTGCTAAAAAAAAAACTTAATCAATTATATTAATGCCATTGCAAACGATAAGCTAGCTTTATGTTTGTACAATACAGTTTCTTGTTTTTAGTAGGTAATCCTGTTATGTTTGTGTGGCTTTTAAATACTCATAACCTTAATAAAAAAGTAATAAAGTATAATAAAGTAATACGTATTAATGCCATGAATTAAGAAAGGCATGCTGAATTTAATACATTTGCTACCATTAAAATAACTATACAAAGATTTTCCCCTCAAAATAAATTTTCCACAACTATTTACGAATATAATAGCTGGACATTGCTATGATTCTTATTCTCTGGAAATTACATTTAAGCACATTTCGACTTGTGGGGGTTCAGGTTTTACTTCATGATATCTTTACCGATTTTAATTCTAATGTCAAACAAGTAAGTACTGTAACTGAAATGTTGCCTTGAAATCTCTCCACAGGCATTTTTAACTCAAATGTGGATTGCCACAAATAGCCTACAGTAGATAATCATGAAGCTACGAAGCACTTTACAACATGGCTAAAGGCACAATCACTCTGGTGTAGATCAACCTATGGGTTTTAGGAAAATTTTCAAAGATTTTTAAAAATCCCTTCATATACAAACCTTATCAGTCCAATTTAAGCATTTCTTTTCTAAAATGAGCAACAACAAAAAAAGATTCTCAAAAAATCAATAAAATTAGTTTAAAAAGAGAGAAGAGTAGCAATAATTGTCAAAAGTATTTATTGTGCTACATTATCACACATCCCATTAAAAAGACATCTTTTTGTAACAGACTTCACTTCATGCATTAGTTTGGTGGTTATAACATGTAGCAGGATTTTTTTCTTTCAAATATAAATAAAATACTTTACACAAAACATATATTTATCTTTTGCATTTCAATGTTATGTAAATGTGCATACTAAAGTATTCAAGTGCAAGTACTCTCATAAAATCACTGCATGTTGTAAGCAGCAACTAATCACAAAGTACTCAGGGTTTTTTTGCAGCAGTTGACCACAATGATAACACATATTTTAGTCTGGCATCTATTGTACATTAAACTAGTTTATTGCATTACTTAGCAATGCTGAGGCGGTTGTACTGCAGCTTTCCTTTAGTCAGGCATACTAAGTAAACCAAATAATGACAAAACGTCAGCTACTGCTTCTATGGTGGCATTCATTCCATATTCTACAGTCATGAGCTTATTTCCACAAAAGAATAAATAGACCAGTCAGCCCCTATGGAGGTAACAGTTATAGCTACTGTGTTCATATTAACAAACTATGAAACTATTTCATGTTTAGTTCTGTATAACAACAGATTTACAATTAAATTTAACCAGGTGGGAGTTTCTTCAACCATGTAATGTCAACTTAAACTTACTTTACAGTAAGCGAACACCAGTGGCCAAATATAAGTCCAGCTCCGACATCATGTTACAGGATCTACATGTTTCTGGCACATATAATTTCCTCCATGCTTTGGAAGAAAGGCAGCAATTGAGTGTTAATGATTGCCTCTTCATTTAATCTGAGGAGAAAAAAAATATAACTGCAATGTGCAGTATGACATTTCTGTTAGTACCGTAAAATCCTTTTTACCAGAATGGGCATACTTAAGATCTATGCTTAATGCAGGTAGTTTTCTGCAACATGTTTTTGTGTGTACAGGCAGCAACCATGTCCAATCAATGCTAAAACAAGGGACCATAATCAGTCAATATACTGAGAAAGCCAACGAAAACCATCTCCATAACCTTGTCTCTTCAGCACGCTACACATGAACACCTCCAGTGGTCTCAAGTTCAGCTCCTTGAGGGACACCTTACCCTGAAAACAATTAGAAAACATTTATTAATCTGAAAAGTTTTGCATTCTCTACTCACACAGTCCAGCTTCAACATCCAGACACCAAAGAGCAATTAATTGATGTTTTAGAAATTTTAGAAAAGTGGTTGCTTGATGCAATATTATGCAGTAAGAGAACTATCAGCGAAAATGTATGTGCGTCTAAATTTTTTAGATTTACAAATTCACTTAAAGACACACATTCATTTTTCTGACAGTCTTTATTTTCATTTATGTTAACGAATAAACTTGAATAAATTCAAGATTTGTACTTGTTTTTGCTGTCAGCTTACATTTGGCTGTATATACGATATACAAAGTTTCATCTGTGAGAATACAAGTTGCAAATCTACATAATAAACAACAAAATACCTAAAAAAAATACAGATACATTTGCAAGTGCAAATTCCATATTACAAACATATGAATGCAAAAATGTATAGGTACAAATCTACAATCCCTGATACAGCTGTTGCACCCTGTGTTACTGTAGGCGATGGTGGTAATGCACCTGATGGGGCTTCTATGGTTCTGTTTTTCATCTTATTTCTCTTCGGCAACCTTCAGATGCATTATTACCGTTAACTGGTAAGAACTGTAACCGCTTTATCAGGGGTTACAGATTCATTCTTGTTGAAGCTATGGTTTGTAGTCGGAAATGTCAAATTTACACTTTTAGTTTTGTAAAGTTATGCTAATCTTCACACAGATTAAACATATGATGTCACAAATACAGGAACAAGGAAGGAATACAAATTCTAAATCCATTTCTGACTATAGCCTGTTAAAGAAAAATGATTATTTTTAGACTTTATTACAGTTAATCTTATGGCATGTGTAAACACTCTCACTTGAACATATTTCTTAATTTTGAACAAGGCTGTGTTAATGATTTAAAACTACTAATGGGTAAGTATTTAGAGCACAGGCCATAAAATGAGTATCTCCTGGGGGCGAACATTATTTAAGCCTGCAGGAGAGATTTCTGCTTGGTTTACAGAAGGTCAAAAGTCTTCCAGAATAAACAACCAGGGATGGTGAGGCCCCCCGCATTCCACAAGCTGTCTGTGGAAGCTTATCTTGTGTTTTATGACCCTGGGAATTCTAGATGCCAGGACAAGCTTTCCGCCTTTTCTTGTTAAAATAAAGAAGCAAATGACCCCAGATGTTTGCAGTAAATTAGGTGAAGCTCAGTGTCAGAGATGGCTCCTGGTTGGAGGACCGAGGGCCAGCCCTTTTTGAATGGATTAGATACAAGAGGATAAAGCTTTCTAAATAGAACTAAAAAATCAGATTTTGCTCTTGCAAACTCTCCAAAGATGTCTTGTACGTCTTTGCTTTATTTTCCTTCTCTCCATTCATGTCAGGTAATGGAATGTATGTCTCTGTTGTTCTGCAGTTTCTGGTGTAGGTTTGTGCATTGTCTTATTTCTAAAGTGTATGCATTGTCTTATATTGGATTAAACTCTGTAATTCTGTGACGTCAACACGCAATGTTGGTTTTATTACCAAGCGCAGCTCGCCGAGTGGACCTGGGGAAGGGAAGAATCAGAAGCCAATCTTTTTCCAAAGTTAACTATGTTAGAATATTTTCTTCCTTTACAATTGGGGGCTCGTGCCGGTTCTGGAGTCTCGGCGGGCGGCTGTTTGGTCCTGATTGATACGTTTCAGCCCGACGCTTCGGTGTGGTAAGACAGTATTTGATTATTTTTTTAGTTGTCTGAAGCGCCGTGTGTCGTCGGACCGGGGCTGATTTGCTGTGTGCGGCCTCACAGAATTCAGAAGCTGCAGAGGTAGATAGGATCCCTCCTAAAGGAGTCGGTTGTTTAAGGATTTGAATAAATACACATTACAGGGAACTGTGGCTAGTTCAAACAGAGCCTTTACGTTAACTCTGACTTAAGCTGGTTTTTTTAAAAGAAGGTTTTATTGATTGATTAATTAATTAATTGATTAATTAATAAAGATTAATTTATTCTTTTTACCCTGAGGAGCAATGCCTGGGCCTCTAGAAAAAGTATTTTGGAAATTTGTGTATTGGTTAGTTTTGGCTTGTATCAGCCGGAGATTTCGACTCATCTCCAGTGGACTTATAATTATTTGGGTTAATTGGATCGAGTTGTATCACTCATGGAAAAGGACTAATAGCAGGTTAATTGGACCGAGTTGTATCACTCGTGGGAAATAAAGGACTAATAGCAGGTTGGATCACCTTTCTTTGGCACCCTTAAGCGGGTTGCTTATAGTATAAAGGACTAAAATAAATTATTTGATTTAATACGGGTTCAATCGCTCTCCCCAGCTGAAAAAGAAAAAACCTTTTGTCACTGGGCGGATTGAGTGATCGAATAAACTAAATTGAGGCTTATTTTCGCCTCGAGCTTGACCCAGCTCTGAAGTGTAGGACTGAGAAGTTGAAATGAGAATAAAAGGGATTTGTAAAATTGAAATTGGACAATTAAAAGATGCGTCATACATTCTTTTAGCCGGCACCTGACGTTTTCTTTTCTTTTCTGTCTTTTCTTGACTGAACTACAACGTTGTCTGTGTTTCTGTGTTTTGTATGTTTCTTTGTGTTTGTGGCTGTGTGTCTGTCTTCCCCCGTTATACTGTAGCCTATGTCCCACCACGCGCTGCTGTCTATTCGTCTGTCTGTGTCTGAATTGTGCTGAGATTGTGCGGAAGTGATTTGTGTTTCAAGATTGTGTTCTGAAATATTGTTAAATATTTTTGCTGGATGTTTTATTACTAACTTTCTGTTAAAATGTGCTTCTGTGGGACAGAGGTGTCTCCGTTTTGGATGCAAGTTTTGTTTCACAGCAGGGGGACTGATTGACCCCCCTTATTTGCATTTTGGGAGTGCTTCAGTTCTGTGCTATTTCCAGCTCACGCTTTCAGGATTCTTGGATTTTGATGTGAATTGCTTTAGGACTGTGTTTTGTGTTGAGAAGAAAAGTACAAAATAACAGATTTACAGATGTTTTTACTTTCTCAGCGGGTGAAATGTGTTGCATCAGTTCCAGGCTAGAGCACTGGAATGATCCAATTGTTTTTTATAATACTGTAACATTGACAATCACTTCAATTTCTAGGTTTCCTGACACAGGAGGGAACACCCTCACTGATTGGAACAGGAGAACATATGGATGTTTTTCTGCTTAACAGTGTTTTCTACACTGTTAATGTGGGACATGTTGAAACACTAATGAATGACTTTGTTTCTTGTAGGACGATCTTCGTGTGCAGCCCATTTCGCATATTACATGACCACATGAACGGTTTTTGGGTTTTCCTACAGGGGGTCTAGGTAGCCATTTAATAACAGTGGGCTATCATGAAATACGGTTGTGTGTATAATATGGAGTTTTTTAAAAAAGGTTCACTCAAAACTGAACAATATTAGAACTATTGGATAATTATCTCTTCTTATTTTTTTCAACCATGGTGTTATAATAATTGTGTTTAAGACTTTTACAGGATGAATTTTGGTTTGAAATCTGGGGTAACATCCTGCATCTTTCTTACAATGGGGTGTTGATGAGTGCTTGAGTGTGAATGAGAGTGAATGTGTAGGCTGATGGCCTTTGATGGGTTTTAGGATGCTCTATGTAAATATGACCTCAGTTTAGTGTGTAGCTGTGTGATATTTTTCTTATTTTAAACTATTTAGGTACACTGAAGGTTTTGTTTCATAAATATGTTTTTATTACTGCTTTAAGGGACAATTTTAAGGTAATGACGATTTCATATTTTGGTGTCACAATCTGGTTGAAGCTGAATCATCTGCTTGTGCAGTGAAATTAATATGAAACGAGAATTCAGCCTTGGCTTAAAGCAGATAGATGTAGTTATTAGGAAATTGTGTTATCCACTTTGACTAACAACACTAACAAACTAACCTAAATTCTAACTAAATAAACTTGGTTTATATTTCATATGGGTGACTGATTGGACATGTTGAAATTTTAGCATAATGGGGGTAAGTTCTTACATTTTTGTTTTTCCACCTCTAAATTGTTTTTCTTTTGGAAATAAGAAAACACAGGGGGATGTTATAAAGATAAGACATTACAGATGGAACTTTGAAATTTACATAATCTCAGTCTAGTTTGAATACTAGATGGAAGATTTGGAGAAATGGTGGAACATCTTATGATATTTTGGTTTTTCAGCAAATTATTATATAAAAGTGACATAGATTCCAAATTGTTTTCAAAATGAGAATTTTATTATATCAACAGGGGGAGAAGCAGAAGTAGACCCTAATTCCTGGTAAATTCTTGGATATGGTTAATGGTAAATTAGTTAATCAATAATTTTGATTTTTTCGATTCAACAATAGTGAATTATGGATTTCTTTAATGTAGAGTCATATGGCCTTCCTGCTTTACTACAATATGGTGTATGTGATATAGAAGCTTCTACTAAATTAGATTTGATCATCTCAAATTGAACGGTTTCAAATAACATCTATGCCATGTCTATTTACATTTAAAATTGTTGATAGATTTCTGCATCACTGCTGACTTTGATTGTATACAGTTGGGTGTAAATTGTTAATTTTTAGGAAAATTTTGGTTAAAACTGCTATGAAATTCAAATAAAATGTAAATAATTTCTGAAATTTTGAAATAGGACTTTGTCTTGAAGCGTGGGAAAATGATAAGGATGTTTGGTATTTAGTAGAACAATATGCAATTCATAATTATTTGACCAAGGGCAATTCCATCACAACTTTTATAAGTATCAGTACTTGGACATTCTAGAGTTTGTTCTAATTCTTTAATGAGTTCGTGAGGTTGTGATTTTAGAATTTGTAGTTGATATTTGGCACAAGCAGAGTGAATGTCATCGAGGTATTGACGTTTATTGATTTTGAACAGTAAGTGTCATTATTTTCTTAATTCTGGCACATCCGATCGTGGACTATTTTAACAAATTTCTATCTATTCTTTTTGCAGTTCAGGATTTGGGGCAGTTGG